TCAATTATAAGTCAAATAGTTACCTTTAAATGCTACATACAGTAAAACGACTAAAAGAGAGGAGCCCCTCTGACTAGTCTGGAGCCTCACATAATTGTACTGGTTACTCTTACCACTGTTAAAGTTACTCTGTGAATCCATCATACTGGAGCCAAGAGAGTTGCCTCCATGGACCCACTAGGGCCTTAGTCGGTAAAAATGAGCCAGGAAAGCCCCTCCGGATGATACTTCAGAGACAAAGAAGCCACTTCCCTGCTCTAGTCACTCAGGAGGCTGACTAGTCTACACACGGTGGAAGATTAAGGATCTATCTCCCCAAAAGACACACATGGACTGCCCTGAGTGCCCCCCTCTTGACTGTTTGTAATAATACCCTGATCCTAACTCTCCTTGTTGTAATAGCTTTAGTTTTTGCTGTAGGCCTGGTTGCAACAGTTCCCGCTGATTGGAAATGGTATAGGAAGCTCCGCTAGTGTTTTCCTATCTGTCATGTGTAAGGGATTTCATCATAGTTCAGTGCCTCTAAGTCAAAAAAGCCCCTCAATTATAATCCCTGTTACTATAATCATCCTATCTCTTACTGAGGGCTCTCCCCACATTTCTGGGGCTGACTTGCCAGCCTGTTCAGAATGTATAAAGACAGTCAGGATGGGAGGAAAAACACTAAAAAAGGCCTCCCAAGCTTCCTACTCTTTGTCTTTGGGTGAACTGAACAGTTAGTGTTCATAACTGAAACGTTTGCCCAGGTAGCATGTTATGATCAAACAAAGGCTCACAACTGCTCCTATGACAACAAAATATACTGAGTAGCCCAATCAAAGGGGATCTCTGCCTATTCCTGTTGTTTTAATGCCAACAAGTCTGGCATCATTAAAAATATGGCCCAACAACTTTGTGACTAAATGCCAAAAAAGACAGGCTGCTGTGATTGATGGAGAGGTTAGAGTAGCCTTTGGTAGTGGCTACCCCTATTTGGACCCCTCTTAACAGTGCTCCTAATCTTTTTTTTTTCTTTAGAGGTTTTTGCTACAGGGTGTGTGCGTTCACCAGAAAGACAGAGACAGAAAAACAGTAAGCGAGAAATCACCCTCCCAGGGGGGATGGCCACACCACAATCCCTTCTCCTCCATTATCCTCTCGGGATCTTGGGCACACATGCACATGCACCCGGCGTGAGTCTTAGCCACCAGATCCGGGACTCGAACAGCAGTCGACTACATGGGAGTTCAGTGACACAGTCATTATGCTAACTGCTGGTCCCAGTGCTTCTAATCTTAACATTCAAGCCATGCATATTAAATTTTATTACCCAATTCATCTCCTCCATGATAGAACCTATTAAATATCAGATGCTGGTTGTGTCTGGAATGATGTACCAACAGACGGACTCTCCCTAACAGACATTTAAAGAGACTCAAAAGGTGGGAATGAGGTAGGAAATGGCCAGTTAGGCAACCTGCAAAATAAGCAACACAGCTCAGGAACTGAAGGCCAACTAATGAGGGGAGGATATTCAGCAGCTGAAGCCTAGCTAAAGGGAGGAGTCATCATGCTCCAAGGATAAGGCAAGCTGAATTTTCAATTCCTTATGGTCTGTAACTCTTGCAGCCTTTCCTCCCTGTGCCACCCATCACCTATGCCTACATGCAAATGGTGCAGATCTTCCCTGTTAAAAAACAATATAATCCTGTACCCTACCCCAAATCAGAGCCCAGAGTTTAGAGTCTGAACTCTGGATCCACAGGCATAATAAACCTGAGTTCTCCTACTCTCTGAGTAACATTTGTTTCTTGGCAGTCCGTTTCTGCAACAAGGTAACCCTTAAAGTGACAAATAAGGATTAAGGGCTTTTAAATATATATATACATATAATTTCTGTCTAAATCAGAGATTAAGGGTGTTTCTAAAAGTAGACTCAAAAAGAAACAAGGGAAAATAATAGTAAGCAAAAAAAGGTGACATAAAAGGAGCAGTAAAAATAGTAAAATAGTAATAAAGCAGTAAAAATAGAGTTTTAGTAAAAAGGTTTAAAGGAAAAATTTTAACACAAAGTATTTTGTATGGTAAAATTTATATCTTTAGGAAAATGGCTAATATAAGGAAGAAAAGGGACAAAAAAGAGAAGTCTACAGAATGTTGTTAAAGGAGGTTTGAGTCATATTAGAAGAATCTAGGAGTTAAAAAAATTGATAAAAAATAGTTTTGTTGATATACAACAGAAATAGCTAAATTTCTTTGTCTATTTCATCATTATTGTAATGAACTTCTCTTCTCTTTCAGAATCCATCAAGGTACAAATGGTGGTCAGGACATACTCCAGTGAGCACCCATCATGACTTCTAGCATGATGGCATGATGGCCTCTGGATAGACCTCTGGTACAGGATCTTGCCCCCCCCCCCATCATTGCCCAATTTCAACAAGAAGTCAGAATGGTCTTCAAGCTTGTACCCTCTAATAGCAGTTAGGGATTCCTCTGCAGAGGGGGGAATGAGGTCAGATACAAGGACCCTAAAAATATAGAGTATAGGCCTAAAATGGAATCTCAAAATGGCTAAGTTTTAAGATGGAGACAAAGGAGTTCTGCTGCTTGCTCTGGAGAGAGTTCTTGTAGTGGTAGCTCAGTGATTCACCTAGGAAGTATGACCTAGACCTAAAACAAAGGCTTTTTCCAGGCCTTACCACATTCCAGGAAGAGGATAAAATAATGTTTTTTTATAGCCCAATGCTTCTAGACAAAGAATCTCCTGACCTTAGTACCCACTCCAAAATTAGGAAAATAATTGGACCCATCCAGCATGTTTACCTCCCCACAATGAGGGGAATACGTGCATGAGCCCCACCTAGAAGCCTGGAGGAAGGCTCTATAGACCCAGATACAAAAACCCTCGCCAAGGAAGGACTCCTTAGACCCAGATAAAAACCCCTCACCACAGTTCTTCCTTGGCAACCCATTTTCTGGGACCCCTCCTTTCTTCTTGAGAGCTCTGTTTTTCCTTCCCCCTCCAATAAACTCCCCACTTTGCTAAACCTACTCTCTGTGTATGGGACAAGAACCTGTCTCACTGCGAGTGTGAGCCTGATCACCCTTGCTTCCCTGTGTTTCTGCATCAGAGAGAATCAACAGAAATGAAGATGAAAATGACAAAAAGGTTAAAGAACAAAGTAGAGGGCATCTTCTATTAGGGGGTTTACATCCTGGCCTATCTCACAACAAATATATGTTGCAGGTTGGCTTCTGTGATCACATCCCGGTTCTTGGTGTTTTGGACAAAGAATTGAAAGAAACATGCCAATAGCAAAAGGAAAAGGTAGGTTATTAGTAAAAGTGAAAGTACACTCGTGAGTGGTAGAAGTGGACCTGAGGGAACAGAGAAAAAAAGAGGCTCATGTTCCAAGCATATATTTATTACACTGAATATTTTTGGAGGCGAGATGACTGATGAAGATTATTGCATCCATTCCCAACTCCTTTGAAGTTGTTTCTGTAAGAAAATCACTTAGCAGATATTGCAATTATCCAGGCCAGAGATTATGACAAGAAGTATAAAAACAGTAGTGGTAATTATAGAGAGGAGTAGATAGACTATAGAACAAACTAGTCATAATTTGCTTTCACTGACTTGTACTAAGGGCTGTGAATCTATAGTCACTTCCTCATTTGGTACTCAGGGTCATTCACCAGTAAGGAAAAACTGGAATACAAGCTGGTTTCGGGATGGTAGGTGAAGAGGAGGTAAGAGTTCAGTGACAGGGCTAAAGAAGGAGTAATCAAAATAGAATACTTTTTTCTTGAAGTATGGCAGTTATGGACACAAGGATCACGTAGGACTTCAAGTGAAAATGGTGGGAGCAGACAGTACTCTGTTTCCATGAAGTTCATCCATATATGCAGTGGTTATATATACATATATAAATAACATATTTATATATAATTGATATATATTACATATATGTAATATATAAAAAATTAAATATATAATACTGAAGACTTCAACATCAAAAGTAACAGTCCTCTGACCTATCACTTCTTACCTCTGCAACGGTGCCTTCCCAGAAATAACACCTTTGAACTTTCTGGGTTTATTTTTTTCTTTCAGGGGGACTCTATATCCAAAGTTAGAATGCATACACTTAACAGTAGGCTTTCATTTACTAATTTTAGACTTTATTGACTTTTTACTAAGGTAGATGCGAATTTATTTCCCATATTTACCATTTTAAAAAAGTGAGGAGATGAATACGTGTGCTAAAATTCTCAAAGAATCCCTGGTCTCAGTAATAATGATAACTTATTGAGCACTTACTGAGACATGGTCTAAGAGGTTTAGCTGTATTAATTTACTTAATTACAAGTTCGAATATAGGATTTTTAACAAATTAAAAGCAGGAAGACAAAGATGATGCTCAGCCTTCACAGCCAAAGACCACGACGGGCAACAAAAAAAAACAGCAAAGGACCAGCCCAGCCGGTGGCATGGCGGTTAAGGCGCTGGACTCCCACACGGTCCACTTGTGTGGAGTTGAGGATCTGGAGCTTGAAAATCATGACAAGTCCCAGGAGGACACTGGAGGAGAGGAGACTGCCTGTGGCCATCGCCCCTTGTGGTCAATTCTCACTTGCCCTCTCATAATCTCTGTCTCTCTCTGGCAAAGGTAAGTGCCTATATCAAAAACCTAAAAACAAACGAACATCCACCCCTCTCCCCCCTCCCCCCCCAAAAAAAAGAAACAGCTAGCTTGGAGGCAAATTGCGACCACCTTTAATTCTCCTCAGCGGCAGAGTGGGTGAGGCCAGGCCGCTCACAAATGAAGAACCTGCAGGCTCACAACGTCCTACTAGGCCGGGTGCGCGGAGTGGGAGCCAGGCCACACGGTGGCGACAGGCAGCCCTCTGGCTTTCCCGGAACAGTCTCTATGGTATTCTTTCCAGCCCACCCACTCCTTGGGTAGCGACAGTCACGTGACGGGCTCCCAGTCCACCGCAGATGCCCACGTGACCCTGGCCTGCGGTGGGGTGCCTGTGGTGAGGTACCTGAACTCGTGAAAGCGGGCTGTTGGCTGGAACCGCCGCTGTTGGCGTGCCGGCACTGGAGAAACGCGCCAGCTGCGGTGTTCTCTGCTTAGTGCCTACGGCACGGGTCAGATTTTTCCATCCGCCTTCGCGGTTCCCTCCTCTTTGCGGGTTAAGTCACCTTTGGGTTTCAAGACCTTGGAGTCTGAGGCTCAAACTCGGGACGAACCCCCCACCTCGCCTCTTTTCCTCATCCTTCATCCCTCCCTTTGCACCACGGAATCACCTGGGCTTGGGCTGGTTAGCTTGGCAGTCCCTTGAGGTCATATTCGGGTGGTGAAGGTAACCGCGGGGAAAGCGCCCTCCCAGTGGACAAAGACGGAGGCAAGAATAAAGCAGGCCTGAGGGCTGCAGACGAAGAGAATAGATTGCGTTTGAGGGGGTGAACAAACTAAAATCAACCAAAAACAACCAAAAAAAAAAAAAAAAAAGTACTGCGGATTTAGAAGGGCCTGGACAGGACTTGTTGCACGATGGAAGACTCTGAGAAAAAGATGGAGAAAGAGAATCTGGGGCCGAGAATGGATCTTTCGCTTGGGGAACCGGAAGGATCTCTTGGGTGGGTGAAAAGTATTTTGTCAAACCTGCAAGTGGGGAGTGGTTTTAATTGAAGGGGATATTGAGAATTCAAGTGCCTCTCCTCCCCAATGATACATTGCTTTGATTTGCCAGTTAAGTTGGTTGATAGCATGATTTTAATGAGATAAACTATAAAGCAGATGTGCTGTGTAAAAATAACCCTTGGGATGTAGTTAATAACATTATTCCTGGTGTGGAGTGTGTTTTATCTGAGGAGGCAGGTATGAGTTGCTTTGAATTATCCATAAAGGAGACTTGATATCACCATGTTGGAATACAAAGAGAACTGGCATTTCCTGGTCAGAGACCAGGCAGGTGGCTTGAGAGTGCTTTCTGTTCCAATATATACCTGAATTTGAGACTTAAATTACATATACTTTCTGCTTGTGATGAGTGAACTACAACTCAGAAGGACAGCTGAAAACTAACAATACTTCTAGATTTTAAAAAGGCTGATTTTTTAAAATAGAGGTTTTTCAAATATGAAAATATTTTCGATTTAGTAAAGCATCTATATATGTTGCTTTGATTAATTTTTTGAGATGATGAAAAATTGAATCCTGAATTTTAATGACTTCATTTGTATTCCTAAACAAATATAAATCTTCCTAGGAGCTATCTCCTGAGCTCATAAAGGACAGGGAACATAAACATACCTAGTTTTATATTTTAGGAAGATGAGGGTTTCTATGCAACTAAGGTCCCATACATAGCTATATTCAGCTGTTATACTAACCATTCTCTTTTGCATACCTACATTTACTTGTATTTCTTTAATTTCAATTTCCAAGACAAGTGGATCATGGAGACTCTTGTTTTTTGGTTTGTGTCTGCAGGTGGGTGCTACCAAATACAGCCATGAAGAAAAAGGTAAGATGTGATAGGTACTTCAAAAATATAAAAGTAAAGGTAAGATGTTGCTGTTTAGGAAGTATGTAGGGTATGTATACCCTCTTTCCTGGACTATCGCAGGAAACTACTTTGTGGAGGTCATGACTCTTGTCTCCTCCTTTGCTATTAGATTTCATTTTTTATGTTACATGAATCTGACTGGCTCATTCACATACTTAAGAATTTTTAATAACTTCTTAAAGTTCAGGGAATAAAATTTAGAAGACTTCATGGCATAAGATGCCTTTAATATCTAGGCCTCATTAAACCATTTAGCACGCCTGTGCATGCCATTATAGCCATATAGACTTTGTTCTCCAGATTTATGAGTTAATTTGCACTTTGTGCAAACCATGCACACATACTGTAGAGGCCATTGTGTGCACATTATCTTTAACCCAACTCAAATGATAGTCTTATCCAGGGTGTCCAGATAGAATTGGACACTCCTTCCTTTGTGTTCTTATGGTTCTATGCCCCATGTTAGGGTTTAGGCACACTATGAGTGTAGCTCAGGAGCAGACTTCTTAACCTTTGGAGACTTCAGCTTCCTCATTTGTAAAATGGTGATAATAATATTACCTGTCTCATAAGGTTGTTGTGAAGTTTTAATGAGCAAATGCCTATAGAGTCACTAGATCAGTACCTAGTATAGTTAGCCTTGCTAAGTCTTTCATATAGCAATCAATTATAGATTTTGTGTGTGTGTGTGTGTGTGTAGAGGTTTTTGCTATAAGGCGTGTGCACTCGCCAGAAAGACAAAGAGAGACAGAGAGACAGAAAGTGAGATATCACCCCCAGGGAGGATGGCCACACTGCAATCCCTTCTCCTCCATTCTCCTCTTGGGATCTTGGGCACACATGCACACGCGCCCAGCGTGAGTTAAGCCGCTGGGTCCAGGACTCGAACCGTGGTCGACTACGTGGGAGTCCAGCAATATAGCCATTACGCTAACTACTGGTCCCAAGATTTTTTGTTGTTTTTAAAAAAGAAATGTAGGGACCAGCCTTGGTACTCCCATGTATTCAACCACGGTGCGATCGCCAGGGATTGTGTATGCCCTGGATCCCAGAGGAGAATGGAGGAGAAGGGATTGTGGCGTGGCCATCCCCCCTGGGAGATGATTTCTCGCTTTCTGTCTCTCTGTCTCTCTCTGTCTTTCTGCCGAGCACACGCACCCTATAGCAAAAATCTCTCCAAAATAATTAAATAAATATAAATAAAATAGAAATATACAATATTTAGCTTTTACTTCATCTGATAGTTTAGTTAACTCCAATTTTCTAAAGGAATGTTTTTGATTAGCCTGTCTAAAGTTGCTATGAATGAGGATGCTTAAATATATCAGAACTTTCTACATGATTAAGAACAAAAATTAGCTTGATTTAATCATCTCACAATCTATACATGTATCAAAACATCACATTGTACCCCTTAAATACATATAGTTACTACCTTTCAGTTACAAATTTAAAAAGAACAAAAAGTTGTGGCAACTTTAGACTTGCTAGTAAGTGACATTTCCTTGGTGAGATAAAGGTAATCTTGCTAAATTGCTAGATTAAATCAATCCTGAGTACAGTACATATTCAATTATACTTCTTTTATTTATAATTTGAAATTTTAGGATATACATTGGGCTCAAAGGTAGAACATATATCTTCTTTATTTGAAAAGCAACATAATTAGAACTATAATTTATAAATGTTAGATATGTAAGAACTCTTAAAAGTTACTTTACCTAGGGCCAGTCAGTGGCATGGTGGTTAAGGTGACTGGATCCCACATGGCTGACTATGCTGTTAGAATCCCAGACAGGCACCTTGAAAAATAACATGCCATGCACTGGTGCATGCTTGCTCAAAATACCCAAAAGAGAGAATGAAAGTGAAAGGATTGCAGCATGACTATGTCTTATGGGGAAGGTGCTTTGTTCCATCCCACTTCTCTTTCTCTCTTTCTGTGTCTCTCTCTATCCTGAGAGTACATGTATCCTCTGGCAATTTTTTTCAAATTACTTTACCCATTTTCCTTCTATTTCAGGAATATATGGTATCTTTGACAGGTGTTTTCTTCTCTCTGTTTAATGCTGAAATTGGCAAGAAGCCTGTTTACCTTCAAAAGGCCACCCTTTGTACTGGACAGTTCTCACTAAAAACTCTCTTGCTTTGTGTCTTAGTTTTTGTGACTTACCCATTCTTTTAAGAATTTGTTATATGTTAGGCACTGGAGATACTGGCTCTCCTTGTCCCTTAGGAGCTCAGAGTCTTGTGAGAGACAAACCTTGAAATGAGTAACTGTAGTGCATTATGGTCTTTGCAATGATCTAAATGACATGGGAGGACAGAGGTAAGATGCCTAAGTCAATCTAGGACATTAGGGTCAGAGAATCTTTTTGAGGAGATGATTTCTGAATGAGATCTTGAAATATAAGTATAACTTAACTGAAAGAAAAAGAGAGTGGAAAGTTACTGGCAGAGAGTACATCATGGTATGAAGGCATAGAGGCAAGACTTTAGAGGGCTGGGATCAGCTAAAGGAACCATAAACAGTTCAGTTCAGTGTGGCTGGATGCTAAAAGTTCCAGACCATGAGGGACAGAAGATGTGGGCAGAGAAGTAGATAGGCTGAATCAAGCAGGATCTTATCTCTAAGGACCTGATCCCATAGACCATGGGAAGCTTTAGAAGAGAGAAAGACATAGTGTAATTAATAGGATAAGATCATGGAAGTAAGTGGAAGGGATGAGATCAGGGCAGAAGTGGAAAGGTTGACCTTCAGCAGAAGGAGGACAAATTCTCAGTATACTGAAATCCCCTGCTAGGTAGGTCAGTGCTTAAAAGATGTTATCTCAATGTAGTATTTTTTCTAACCTAATTCTGAATATATTAATAGTGCATGTTAGTAGCATGCAAAGGTCTTCAAAATGTTCATGGAAAATGCATATTAATAAAAAATTTGCATGGATTTTAAAATTGTTTTATACCAAAATAAACTCATACTTTAATTCCATTTTTGGGGCCAGCAAGTGGCATGGTGGTTAAAGGCTCTGGACTCCCACATGGCCAACCACAGTTCAAGTCTTGCTGGTGGCTTGCTTTCTCACTTCCTCTCTCTCTCTGTCTCTCTCTGATCAAACTGGAAAATAATAATGATACTAATAAATAAAGTTAAATAAAAAAATTCTTTAAAAAATAAAAAAAATTCCATTTTCCACAAATTTTTTGAAGTCTTCTTGTAAACAAATTTACTGCGGTTCTATTACCAAGAGGATATATGACCTTTTTTTTTTTTTTTTTTACTATAGGGTGTGTGTACTCACCAAAAAGACAGAGAGAGACAGAAAGTAAGAAATCACCCTCCAGGGGGGTTGGCCACACCACAATCTCTTCTCCATTCTCTTCTCGGGATTTTGGGCCCGCACGCACATGCGCCCGACGTGAGTTTAAGCCACCAGGTCTGGGACTCGAACTGCGTTCAACTACATGGGAGTTCAGTGACATAGCCATTACACTAATTGCTGGTCCTGAGGATGTATGACCTTTGATGGGTGAGTATTTGGCCCCTGGAATTCTAGTATCTCTGTATTCACTGTTGACTGGGGAACAGTTTAGTTAGTTAGAAGTATCCACACCAGGTTGGTGGCACTATAATTTCAGGAAAACATCAAGTACAGGAAAGATACAGGTTCTTTTAGATTTGATTTGATCTAGCTTGCTAACTTTTTTTCTTTCTCTTTTCTCACTTTGTCCTTAGGTGCTTTTGATGGGTAAAAGTGGGTCTGGTAAGACCAGCATGAGGTCTATTATCTTTGCAAATTATATTGCCAGAGACACCCGTCGCCTTGGTGCAACAAGTAAGATGTTTTATCTTATTTAAAGTCAGGTGACCTTAACTATTAATAGTCTGCATAACACATTTGGTTGCAGTAGCTTGGGGATGCAGGTTGAGGGATTTGTTTTGGAGTATGTTGCCTCTTTGTGCATTCCTCCAGCGAGATGTAGCTTAGTTCTGGTTACTACTGCTCACATTCTTGAGGAGGTTCTTTATTTTCTAGGTTGTTAAGAAAAAAGATATACTTTTGTCCAACTTCTTGTTTATCCAACTCTTTCTTAAACAAGTATAGGGACCCTTTTGTTAGTTTTGGGCAGAGAGTTTTTGTTTTTAAGTAATTATACAGAGGGAAATTCATGGTTATCAAAAAGGCTAACAATGAAGTCTGCTAAGATTTTTTGAAGCAGTAATTACTCTTTGTTTTCATTAAATGTAAACTGCCAACACAGAAAGGAGAGAAGTTAACCTGATCTGTACTCTTTTACTTCTCTTTCTGCATACACATAGATGTTCTCATTGGAGTTTCAACTCTGATGCGGTAAATGTATTATTTCCCTTTATGGTTTGAATGCTAATATAGATTTAGTTGGTTGCCAGGACAGTGAATCTAGGGGTCCTGTGAGAGCCTTTGTTTTTCTCTGAGCTATAATGGTAATTCATCCTGCATCATCTAAGCTTTTCTAAGTTTCACCTTGGTCTTTGGCTTTTAGGTGATGAAGTCATTATTGTGTGTCACCTTTAAGATTCCTGATTTGGGTTTCTAGTATCTCGAATGCTTTTAGAGACAAGTCATGCACTACTCTGTAAGGTGTTTCACTCTGGTTTCAAAAACAGCAGACATTTTAAGAATACATTGTGTTTCAGACTTAGGATGAAAAGAAGGAAACCTCATTTCTGTTCTCAGAGTATATGTAGTGTAAAATAGACTCTCTTAATTGAGGCAGCTTTGATGATTGGAAAACTATTTCTTAGGTAGAGTTGCAAATCTGTTTCCCTTTATATCTGATAGCTAGTTTACTTAAGCCTTTTCAGAAATTTAGGTTGGTCAGTATCTCAGTTTATACTAGTCGTCCCATGACTCTCAAATCGTCCTTAAATTAAGCATCTCCAGATCCTCCATCTTGTCTTCATGTCAGAAATTTGAAGCATTTTTAAGTACGTATTTGAACTTGTGTACGTTTTTTCCTGAAGTCCTGAGAGTGAAATGTATATGTGGTCTGATCAGGGCACAGTGGTCCTATTACATCTCTTTTTCTAAACATTTCACTGTTGTTAGCATTGTCTAATCACCCCCCCCCTTTTTTGAAGTGACCTTTATTATGTTGAGTTATACTAAAAAAATTCCTTTCCACATGTATTATTATTAAAACACACATGTTCAGATTCTTGTGCGGTTAATATTTTGAATCTAAAAATAAATACTTGCTTCTTTTGAATTCTTCAATTTTCTTTGTGTTAGTCCATTGTACATTCCTTTTCTCTGTACATTAACTGTGATATCCAGGACAAGTCACTGTCTTTCTAGGCCTCAGTTTCTTTGTCCCTGGAAAAGAATTAGACTCTATTTTTGTTTTAACTACTTATTTTATCATCTGGTATATTGGCTATCTTCCCTATGCTCTATGCATTTTATACATTTAGTAAGTATCTCATCTAGTTTTTATTCTAAGTCATTGGTCAAAACTTTTGGTCAGGAGAGTGTCCTATGGCCCACTGTGCCTCTGGAGTTGACGTCTGTAGCTGTAGCCTTTGGAAAGTCTACTTGTCTAAATTTCTGTCTTAATTTGGTAGATTTTTTTCTTTTATTCTAAGTTAATTATCTCAGCTTAATATGATTTTAGTATATTAGAGGAAGCTAATGCTTATTGAACAGCCATTATCTTCCAGGCTTTTGTATGCTGTTTTATTTACTTTATTCCTCATAGTATTTTTATTTTAGTGAATGAATAAAGTACAACTTGAACTCAGCTAGTAAGCTATAGAAATGGATTTTCAATCTATGCTCATGCTCTGTGCATTATGCCACTCTTATCTAGCTTGTCCTACCCTAATAATTTCTGACAAACTTCTTTTTATTTGTGTTTTAAATTCTACATACTTTATCGAAGCACTTTTTTCTAGTCGAAGTGATATTACTGTTCTTAGCTGATCAATAATGTATTACTCTGAGTCCTGTGCATAGTTTTGGAACCAAAATTTATTATAAATTATATAAACATTTTATATAAATATTATATAAATATTATAAATTATTATAAACATTATTGCAAATTATGTGACTCCTGTGTATTAAAGCAGACCATTTATTCAACAAGTACTTCTCTGGAGCTTCCTGTTTGTGAAGTACTATGAATGAGACAGGGCTCTTGCCCTTAAGTATATCTCAAGTGGGACCATTATTGATACCCATTTTTTTATAGAATTATTGTGTCTACTTAAAGGTAATAAAAATATACTTGAAAATATTATGTCGGCTTTAATGCTTTAGCCTATTATTAGCTCATTTGTCATTGCTTATGAAAGGTCTGGGTTCCATTGCTAAACTTACAGACTAGTTCTAGCTTGATGTTACTTTTTAATACTTTTTAATGCAGTTTCTGATTTTATTTAAAAGGAGTAAAAGAGTACTTTGAAAATATTGCATTGACTTTAATGTTTTAGTGTTTTTCTTGTTTGTCAATCCTCAAAAAAGTCCAATTTTATTTGTTAAAATTAGAACCTACTGTGTTTTTAAATTTGAAGAAAGGATACAGAATGATGGTATTATTCATTTATTAGGAGACTGTTAAAATGTGTTTGTCAGAATAGTAAACTTGTCAATAAAAGCATGATTATGAAATATTTTACTCTTTAACACTGTTGACACCTCCAAGATTTCATATCTTCTCAAAATTCTCTATTCCCTTGGCTTTTATTTAATGCTCTGTTACCTTGGTTTTCTTCTTTTATTTTTCTTGGTTTTCTTCTTTTAGTTTTAACTATCTCTCCCCTTTTTGTAAAAAAAATATAATCTTTATCATAGTATTTTCTTCTTTCTGCCCCATAAGTGTATATGAATCCTAAGCTCTTTTTTTGGTTCCTTTTTAGTTGTCTTAAGACAACAAGGCAGGAAGACTAGAAGAGACAGAGTCATAGAGGGGATATGATACTAAAGAGGAAAGCAGGAAGTGGAGGTTAGACCACAAAGTATCCTATAAACCAAGTTACGGAGTTTAAACTGAAGGTAGAGGCTAGCTCATAGAGAATTATAAAGAGAAAAATAGCGTGATCATGTTTATATTTTTTTATTTTTAGTTTGCTATTTTAATTATTTACTTGAAAAAAAAATTGAAACATTACAGAAGTGGAGAAGGTCTAATCCCGTCCTTACTCTTAGGGTTATTTCCTACGGACAAGCACCATTAATAGTTTTCAGGTTATCCTTCTGGTTCTTTCTTTTTTAGGTA